ATAAGTTTTGGCATAAATTCAGACACCCACTGTCTTTGCAGAAGAAAGCAATTTAAAGAAAGGAGACGAGTCTAAAATATTCCTCTATTTAATTTTCCCCAATTAAAGACAGTAGGCACAGTAGGTGTAAACAAAACTGAAAGTACACAGTAGTTTGTAGTGTTTAAAGTACTGATTTGTTCCCTTCTAGGTGGTACCTGGGGATCCCTCTGGTGAGAATGAAACAGTGGTAGATGTGAATATTCTGACTTCACCTACTTTCACCATTAAAGTTCCGCCCAATTTAGACCCAAAGAGTGCTGAATTCGTTGAACACATAGCTGGGAAAGCCCTGCAACTATATAAGCAGAATTTTTAAGTGGTAAGTTCATTCCTTCTCCTTTCATAGAGAATGCAACTCTTCATAAGAGGTGTTTACATTGCAATAAACTTTAGTTAGAACAGGATTCAGTCATGGTATATACAAGACCAACTCTTCAGAAACAATGCTCTGATTGAGACAAACACAAGTGTTACGGAAGACCAAAAACAAATGCTCAATGTTCTAGCCTGCAAAGCACAGACATTATGATATTAGAAGATTTGACTTACTTAGCTGTGAAACCCTCAATCTTTAAGTAACATCTGGGATGAGGTAATGTGATGATAAATATTCCTTCAGAAGAATTGCCTCACAACCATAGTCCAGTCTTGGCATCGGAAACCATGTCTTTGAGTTCATTAATCACGAATTAATTGGAATTACCACTATTCATTATCTTTTTTTTTATTTTCAGTGGTGTTTAAGAGCATGCTCTGTATTATTTTTTATGATAAAGGAGTGCAAAGTTAGAATCAGCACCAGCACTTGAAAGAGCTGTTTTAACATAATATTTTCCTATTAACAGCACTCTGCTCAGATTAACAGTGCTAATAGAATCTGCAGTTTGACTAATAGGAACGTGCACAGAAAAATCCTTCTCATGGGCTTCTAACCATGTTTGTAGGAAGCTCCCACAGAGGCCTCTCTCTTCCAGATGGGGAGGGAAGAACCAGTCAGAGAGCATGGGAAAACAATGCTTCATATTCTCTAACCCCACAAGGAATCTCCAGGAAAGATGGGGTAGTTTCAGGTGGTATCGCACTGGTGAGGGACTAGCCAGCTACCCAGGGAAATCCAGGGGGCTTTGGGATGTACAGCTCTGTGTTGGTGCAACTTTCATCCACGACAAGCTCCCATGGCCTCTGACTCTCACAGCTGATGCTCCCAGGGGCCAGAGCCACAAGACACACAAGACCTACAGGCAAATCACTGCAGTGTCCCCCCTCAGTCTTCTGAGGAGGCACTACATTTGGACACTGCTGCTCTTTAGGTCATGGGTGTCTGATATCCTCATCTCAGCAAATAAAGCATGACATGAATGCCCACAGAAGTCTCAGGAGGCACACAAAAAGGATTCAACATTAACAAAGTAGATGAAGAAAATAAAATTTCAGCATTTTTTATTGCCTCTATTCTTTTGGGGTCAAACTCACAGCTTTTAAGCAGATGAAAGAAAGAGATCACGTCCATCAGAGAGGCTCAGGTAGGCTGCAGAATTTAGACAGAATATAATAAGCCTCACCATAAACCCCGCTTAGGTAAATATTGGTGAAATTATGTATATATTATCTTTAAAATACAAGCATTTAAAAAAATTTATAAACGTACCAAATAAAATGCTTAGCACAGTTTCTCTACAATTTTTCTTCAAAATTCTCTGCTATTTATAAGCAGTTATTGACAATACATACTCTTTCAGATCATGCAAGACTAATCTTCAAGGCCCAACGATAACACTATCAATTTCCTTAGTCTGATTATGATTTTTAGCCTAAATCTTAGTCTGATTTTCCCGTGCAACATATCTTGTGTAGCCATTTTATACCTGAGAAAAGTAAGTGGCATTAATTTCCAAATCACAATACCATTTTATGTTCAGTTTGCACAACAGATTTAGGGTACGTGAAAGTGTGACAAAAGCAGAGTTAAAACTGTAGAAAAAAAAGAGAAAGATCTATAAGAAGGGAAAAAGAGACAGACATCTGTTTCTGTTTGGTTTTTATGTCCTGTATGTTTCTATAGCAGGGCACTGATACATTCCACATAAACTTATTTTTCTAATATCCTTTTCTCATTCCAAATACAAAATGTTTAATAATTTTAATTTTTTTTTCTCCTAGGAAAGAAGATATGTGAAATCTTTCTTCCCCAAAACCAGTATATACTCCCATAGGTGAAATACCCTTAAGTTTAACGTACAGCTAATTGTTAAATGACTACGGTTAAAACAGTTGCATATAAATAAAATTTTGTTTAGTAAATACCGTGATATATGAGCTAGTAACCAAAGACTATAGAAATCTTTTAACTCAAAACCAACTTCAAATCCATTTTAATATTAATTTATTTAAATAAAATGTTATTTATGTTGTAAATTAGGTAATCTTTAATATCCAGCTATGGCTGTTTATGTGAAGATTTAAGGAAATAATCAACTGTAAGTATCAAATAATTCCTATCACTCCAAGCACATTCTTAAGCCTTTTCAAGATGGGTCCCTACAGATGTTGCACATTCAGCTAAGGCTGAATCAACCCGATTTCCATATGCATGTAGCATATTATTTTCCAATGAAATCACTCAATTTCTTCTCCCAGTTGCTTTTGATGTTTATCATATACATTAAATTACTTTTCTGAATATGCAGTAATGAGTAAATCTTCCGCCTTTGGCATTTCTTAGTTGTAGTTCGCCTCTGGAATTAATTTTTTAATTCATGAACAAGGAAGCCTGTATCAGAAAAGATGTTTGTTTTTTCCTAAATTACACACATTAGCTTTCACTGGTATTTGCAAATTATAATAAAGGTTAAGAACTGATACATATCTCTGTTAGAAGAAAAGCTCTATGCAATTTGGTTTCATTTGCTGTGCCTGGCATTTCTAAGCATTTTTTTTTGCAGTTATATTCACCATTTCCAACTGCATCTCTGCTAAATAAATTATATTCTAAGTGTACAAACCCAGCTATATCAGATATGAGCATAAAAAAATAATTGTACCCTAATTATACCATACTTTTTCCTTTGCTTCTACACATGCAAGTATACACGTTTATACAACAAAAGGACCAGTTCATTGTTTTAACTAGAGGGAAAGATGTTTTCCTGCCTGCTGTAAGGAAATCCAGTCCTCTGTTCCATTCACCCGCCATTACACGTCTCCTAATCGCAAGAGATTAGCAGGTATAACCCTTGTAATCACACCAGGTGTCAGAAGATTGGCCTGTATCAGAGGTGACTCACACAAAATGCTTCATTTCCAAGATATACTAACAAAATATACCGAGAAGAGTCAGTTTGTTTTGACGAACGGGGAGCGCATACCTAGAAAATATTCATAGGACACCACGCTGGGAGCAGAATGAGGAAAAATCGGTGCGGTCTGAGGCACAGGCTGGGGTTAGGGGTTCGGACAGCCTCCGCCGGGGAGACCAGCGCCGTGCGGGGCCAGAGAGGGCAACTGAGGAGGATCCCCAGCGGGAGGCGAAGAAGTTGACAAGGACAGCAAAGGCACGGCCACCGCGGCCTTGCTTACGCCCCGCGGGGCAGGCGGGAGGCGGCGGCACTGCAGAGGGGCCCTGGGCCAGGGGAGGGCCACGGCCGGCCCAGGATGGAAGGGGAAGGGGAAAGAGAAGGGAGGGACGAGGCGCCGGTGGCACCGCCCCGCCCGTTCTTCAATGCTGCTTGGCGGGAAAGGGTGGGCTTTGGCGGGCTCGGAGGAGAAG